TTACCAAGGCATTGAAGAGTGGTATTAATACTTCACGTGATCTTGATTCTATCCCTCTGTTAATGCAGCCTAGCACTGTGTTGGCCTTTTTGGCAGCTGCAGCACACTGCTGGCTCATATTTAGGTGATTGTCTACTAGGACTCCGAGGTCCCTCTCACAGTTACTACTATTGAGCATGGTGCCACCTATGCTGTACTTGTGCATTTGGTTTTTCTTGCCTAAATGTAGAACCTTGCTTTTTTCACCATTGAATTTCATTTTGTTAGTTAGTGCCCAGTGTTCAAGTCTGTCCAGATCCTTCTGTATCTGAAGCCTGTCTTGGAGTGTTGGCTATTCCTGCCAGCTTGGTGTCATCTGCAAATTTGATGAGTTCCCCATCTATCCCTTCATCCAAATCGTTGATGAAGATGTTTGAAGAGTACTGGGCCCAGAACAGAGCCCTGGGGCACCCCACTACACACTTCCCTCCATATAGATGCAGTTCCATTGAGGACCACTCGCTGAGTACGGCCGGTCAGCCAGCTACGGATCCATCTGGTGGTGGTTCTGTCTACCCCACATTTTTCTATCTTGTCAAGTAGTAGGTTGTGATCTACTTTATCAAATGCCTTACTGAAGTCCAAGTAAATTATGTCCACAGCATTCCTCTGATCCACTAATTTTGTCACTTGGTCAAAGAATGCAATAAGATTTGTCTGGCATGATCTATTTTTGACAAACCCATGTTGGCTTTTAGTAATGACTTTGTTTGCCTCTAGGTGTTCGTTGATTCGTTGTTTGATTATCTTTTCCAGGATCTTCCCAGGTATTGAGGTCAGGCTGATAGGTCTGTAATTTCCTGGATCCATTTTTTTTCCTTTTTTGAGGATGGGAACTACATCAGCTCTTTTCCAGTCCTCTGGTAGTTCCCCTGTGTTCCAGGATCTTTGAAAAATATAGTTCAGTGGCTCCGATATCACATCTGCCAGTTCCTTGAGAACTCTGGGGTGTAATCCGTCTGGTCCTGGCGATTTGAACTCATCTAGGCTGGACAGGTGCTCACTAACGATTTTCTTGCCTATCTTAACTTGTGTTTCTGTTTTGTTTTTTGTGGCACTATTTTTGATAGGTTGGTCTGTTTTTTCCCTTTGTGTAAAGACAGATGCAAAAAATGAGTTAAATAGTTCTGCTTTCTCCCTGTTGCTTGTCACCTTCTTGCTGTTTTTCTGTTTTCGTTCAAAATTTCCTGGAATAAATAAATTTGATATATTAACTTTAGGAATGTTTTGCAGTTTTTAAATCAGACATATAATTTTGAGAGAGAAATATCAGAACCATGAAAATTTGTAGGGAAATATCTGCTCCTAGTAGCTTTCCCTCCCTCAACAGCTATGCAGACACCATTTTTAAAATATCATCTTTAAAATATAGCTAACATTTTATATATTAAAAACATTTTTCGGGTAATATTTTGGTCTTGTTATTAATTTTAAAACCCGAAACCCGTCCATATTGGTATATCAATTGTAATAACTCTACTACGGAGTGAGTAGGTTGGGACAGGGTAACCACCAAGTCATCTGCAAAGGCTCTTAATTTATATTCTTTTTTATTATTTATGACTAATATGGATAAGCAGACTTTGGTTAATTTGACAGATTTTGAGGTTGTTGATAAAGTAAAATATCTGGGGGTTACTTTATCTGTCTCTAATGTAAAATTGTATAAAAATAATTATGAAAGGTTGTGGGTCAGGATACAAAGAGACTTGAAAAATTGGGAGAAGTTGCAATTATCTCTTTTGGGAAGAATTGCGGCGATTAAAATGAATGTCCTGCCTAAGTTCCTTTTCTTATTTCAAATGATACCTATTTTAAAGAATGAGGTTAATTTAAATGAATGGCAGAAAGGTATCAATAAATTTATTTGGGCAGGGAAAAAACCAAGAGTAAAGCTTAAAATTATACAAGACATTCGTGAAAGAGGTGGACTCAAGGTACCGAATTTGAAATTGTATTATGATGCTGTGGCTTTAACATTAATTAGTGATTGGGTTAATTTAACAAATGTAGAAATATTCCTCTTGGAGGGTTGGGATTTATTTTTTGGATGGCATGCTTATTTAATTTTTAATAAAAAAGTTGACTGGGTTTTTAAATCTCATATTATAAGGATTTCTTTACTTCTGGTTTGGAGGAAATATTATAGAAGTGATTCTAAAATACCATTATGGGCTATACCTTGGCATGCGATAGGGGGGATAAGGAGAGGAGTTAAGATGGATAGTGTTTCTTAAGCACAATTGCTTAGATGGGATGGTAAAAATTGGCAGTTAAAATCTTTGGAAGATTTAGCACAAGAAAATATTATATATTCATGGTTTCAGTACAGACAAATAGCGGATAGATGGAAGATAGATCGTAATGTGGGCTTGCTTAGAGAAGATGAAAATTTTGTCAAACAAGTAAAAGATCAAAGATGAACTCACATTAAGAGAATTTATGGGGTGCTAGTAGAATTGGATTCAGAACCAGAATTAATTAAAGAATGTATGATTAAATGGGTACAAAATTTTGGTGAACCAGTTCTACTAGATACCTGGGAAATCATCTGAGAAATGTTAAATTTACACAGGCCCAGAACTTAAGGGAGAATTTTTATAAAATGTTTTATAAATGGCACCTTGATCCACAAAAAATGTCTCGTATGTATCCTGACTTACAGCCTAAATGTTGGAGATGTGGCTGTTTGGATGCTACTTATTACCATATTTGGTGGTCGTGTAAAAATATAAAAGCCTTTTGGATTAAGATATGGTGGAATATTCAAAGAATTTTTAGAAGGAGGGTAAAATTTACCCCACAATTGTTTTTGCTAGGTATTGTTACCGATTGTGATACCAAGGAGGTTATATTGATGTTAAATTTAATTACAGCCGCAAGGTTGTTAGTAGGGCAATATTGGAAGAAGGAATCTTTGCCTACTTTGCAAGAGTGGTTTTCTAAAGTATCTTATCTGGCAGAAATGGCAAACATTTCGGCTTTTTTAAAGGACCAATTGCAAGAGAAGTTTTTTGTGGTATGGGAAAAATGGATAGATTTTATACAACACAAGTTGGATATAAAAAAATATTATTTAGTTTTTCAATAACTTATATATAAATTTTAATATTTTATAGACTGTATTATTTTTTCTTTTTCCTTATATTTTTTCTTATTACTTTACTTTCTTATATTTCTTTTCTTCTTTCTTTCTCTTTATTCTTTTTCTTTTTAAGTATTTTTTTCTTCTTTTTTAATATTTATGGTTTTTTATATATATACATATTATTGTTAATCATTCTATTAGTTGTTTAAGTAATGTATTTAGATTTATCTATGGTTTATACTTTTTTTAAGAATTCAAGAAACTTTAATTAAGCCTATATTCAGCTCTGGGAAGGTTGAGGGAGGGAGTGGGAGGGTTGGGGTGGGTTGGGGAGGGTTATTTTTTTTTCTTGTAAAAATTTTAAAAATTTTCAATAAAAAAAAAACATTTTTATATATAATATGATGTTATAAAATTATATAATAGTGAAAACAGCAATCAATCCTGCCTTACTTTATGTCAGATTATGGAAGCTCTAAATATAATAAAACATAATATGAATATAAGTAATATTAGAGAGCCAATCTAGTATAGTCGTTAAGATACTAGCTTAAAAACTGGAAGTCCATGGGTTTTAGTACCCCCTCCTTAGACACAAAGCCAACTGGGAGTCATTTTCTCCCAATCCTAAGGAGGCAAGGACAAGCCGTTTCCAAAAACCTTGCCTTGAAATCTGCAGAAAGTACTCCATGCAGTCATCAAAAGTAAAAAAGAAAAGCAGAGTCTAGGGGATATAATAATAATAATATGAATGCATATTGTTTTATATGATGGAGCAATGCACTAATCTGAATTCTTAATTGTTAATTGCAATTATATTTATAATTTATAATATATTTAAATATATTATATATTTAAAAAGCCATTATAATAAAAAAACCTGGAAAAATCTTTTAATCTGAGGAGGCATGTGAATGTTGGGGATGGGGATGATGATGCTTTTTCTTAATCAATTAAGAAACCTAAATTAATGTCCTTAATCTAGGAAAGAAAAATTATGGCCTTGTTTCAGCAGGAACAGTAGCCATTTAATCCCAGTGATAACTGTCAGTTGGGAAGCACAGGCTGAAACTATGATGCACAGACTGAAACTCCTTCTGGCCTAGGAGACAAAAGTTGGGTGATCTGTTGACTTTGGTGAAGAACACATTATAAATACGAGAAAACTTCCCAACTAAAAATTAAGAAACTGCATAATTTCAATTTCCCTCCTATTGTGCTCCAATTGATAATTGCAATCAATTTTATATTTTATAAAGATTTTAAAATTGTTTCTTTTTTAACTTGATAGTGAAATAAAAAAGAAAAAGAAAAGAAAAGCGATATACAAAAAAGAAGAAGAAGATGAAGCATTTAAATATTCCCTCTCTTTCCCACCCCCTTTGTTTCCTTTTCTGGATGTAAATAAGTTAGGACTTCTTTAAATTCTAATTATTAATTTAAAAATTGAAAATTTGTTATAAAGTTGACAACTATTATGGATCCTGTCTGGCCCCAAACATAAAATAAAATAATTAAACATTTTTTGAAGGGAGCAAAGGCTCTGGAGTAGTACCTGCCATGACTTTCGCTGAAGATGATTGGCTACAACTGCAGGAAAGATCTACCTGCCTGGTGTCATGGGCAGCAGAACCTGCCCTCAGGCTGTTCTGCTAAACTCTGGTACTGTATTGTGGTGGCACCTCGCAACTCATACTGCTTCAATTCAGGCCAACTTGGGGAGGAGCTTTTGTCAAGCCAGAATTTTATGGAACCTAAATCTTTATTATTATTATTATTATTATTATTATTATTATTATTATTATTATTATTATTATTATTATTACTCTTCTTCTTCTTCTTCTTCTTCTTCTTCTTCTTCTTCTTCTTCTTCTTCTTCTTCTTCGTCTTCTCCTTCTCCTCCTCCTTCTTCTTCTTCCTATTATTATTGTTATTATTATTATTATTATTATTATTATCATTATTATTATTGTGGTAATTTAATGTTGTGTTGACTTTTGTTTTCTTATGCATATATTTGATAAGTAGTGTATATGAATGCAGTCACACCATAAAAGGGGCATAGCAATTGTGCATTCCAAGCTGCAACTAAGGTCTCAGCCAGATGGCCCACCAATTCCTAAATGAAAAACCCAACCTCCTCTGAACCCAACAAGATCCATCAGGAATCTTGGGTCGGTTGATCTAACAGGCCTTGCCTCCCCATGAAGTCAGGTGACACCAGCAAACCAGAAAGCATTCAGAGAATGATTTCATCATGGCAATGAACTAATAATGATGTTCTCCAAAACTAGGTATGTTGCTACTGCCACAAAACAAAAACTAATGTGTGGCCCCTGATATGCATTGGGTGTAGTGATTTGGGACAAGTCCATGGTTGCCATAAACTCCTGGACTACCTTATACTCAAGGCTACTAGAAGTGAAGTTGAAATCTCCAAGAACCAACAGCCTCAGGTCTCTATTGTCAGCACAACAACATATTCAGCTGCTCAAACAGGTATGATGCTGGTCAACAGATAATACACAAGCAGCAATCACAATTGTTCCTTACAGCCCAAATTTAACCAAGAGCCTCACATCCAGTTTGCACCACAGGTCTCCAAATCCTCAACAATTTGCAGATGATAATGGCCAGCGTTTCTTCCCCTCCCCTAAAGTTTGAGCTAAATTCCAAGATAACTGCCCACTCTAGAGCCATTCAGAACATAGTAAGGCCAGACAGATCTGTTGCCATACCCACAATCAAATTTTGGATGAAGAAAGATATATTGCAGACTTACTTGGCAATCAGCAGCAATAGCTGGAGTCCAGGATCTCACAGGCATTATTTATTTATTGATATAAGTCACCCAATCTAATTTATAGGCCTTAAAAGGAGCAATTTATAGGATACAATATGTGCCAGGAAGGAAGCGGAGGGGGAAGATGAAAATGGAGGGGAGGGGAAAAGAAAGAAAAAAAATAAAAGAAGAGAAAGAGAGAGAGAGAGAGAGAGAGAGAAAAGAAAGAAAGAAAGAAAGAAAGAAAGAAAGAAAGAAAGAAAGAAAGAAAGAAAGAAAGAAAAGAAAGAAAGGAGTTGTCACTTATCATGATCTTGACTCCTTTCCTTGTCTTAATTATTGAACACAAGTGTCCACTGAACGATTAACAGCTCGTATAAGGAGGGATTGATTCTTATTTTGGAAGATCATAAACAGAGACATTATATCTACGTCTTTGGTGTCCCCATCCAGAGAGAAGGTGAAGTTCTGGAGCAAAGTGCTGAAGAACAGGAAGAGCTCCATCCTAGCCAGAGCCTCTCCTGGACAGGCCCTCTTCCCTGAAATTGCAAACAAGAAAACAAAGCTTATTCAAAGCTGATTAAAGAATAACATGGATCAGGCAAGCATATGAACTGGTAATACTATCTGTCCCAGAGGACTGTACCTGCTGAGAATGGCATGAAAGCATCTCTTTTCCTGAACTGGCCCTTTTCATTCAAAAAATGATCTGGGTTGAACTTCTCTGGAGTCTCCCAGTGGAGAAGATCACGGTGTACTGAGGAGAGGACTGGCACAACAGCCATGTACTAGAAGAAGGAGGTAAAGAAACAGATGACATTAATTGGTGCTACTTCATCCAGAGAATAAAGAGCCTCACTTGTGTCAAATAAAATAGGCCAGCAGGGAGCAATCTGCAAACATTCTGAAATGCAATGAAGGGAGAGAGATTTGGTTTAATTAATTAATTTATTAAATTTGTATCCAGAATGACTCTAGGCAATTCACAATGCCATAAATAATACATATTAATTCATACTTATTCAAACTGCCTTGAATATGAAGGATCTTTGACTATATAACAGTGAGTGTTTTTGGTAAAAAACAAAAAGGTGGTGGAACTCACACAGGTCATACAACCTGCCTTGCCTACCCTGCAAGGTTTACCTTTGTAGTTGAAAAAAACCCTTCAGTTTTTAGTGTATCTAAAAGACTGGGATTTTATTCAAGGTAAGTTAATAATATTAATGTTACCATGCACAAATCCGTTGAAAAAGGGTGCTGGAAATCCATTCTAGTGTGTTCTATGACCAAAAAAGCCCTCATAACAATCATCTATTTTTTTTCCTCTGCAGAATATCTTTATCAGTAATTATTATTGCCACACCTTGGGAATGTTGTAACCATGGAACTTTACATCACAAGTTGTTGCCCGTGGAAGGTTTTCAAGGCTCTCAGTCCCATAACGTTGAACCTCATGGACCACAGCATTTGTGAAAGGCATCTTCAAGCGGTCTTCCATGCTTGGAGTGCGATTTGTACCCACTACCTCATCAATCTCTTGTTGCACCTTAGCTGTGAGAAAAATATATTGAGATGAAATTAACAATCTTTTACTGTATTGTACTGAGCACCCTCAGTCAGCTACCACTTGAATAGAAACATGGTTTTCCAAAGCACGTTCAGAGAAGACACTTCCAGTCAGGAAAATGGCTCTTCCTCAAAGTCATTTCTCAGTGGAGACCATTTCAATTTTTCTAGTGCAAGACTATGTTACGGTTGAAATTATGAAAGCTGGTGATCACAGTTTACACAAGATACTAGCAAAGCTGTACTTGAGTTAGTAATAGTAATAGTAGTAAAGTTGGAAGGGACCTTGGAGGTCATCTTGTCCAACCCCCTGCTCAGGCAGGAAACCCTAAACCATTTCGGACAAATGGCTGTCCAGTCTCTTCTTAAAAACTTCCAGTGTTGGAGCATTTACTGCATCTGGAGGCAGGCTGTTCCACTGATTAATTGTTCTCAGTTCTCCTTAGTACTAGGTTGCTTCTCTCCTTGATTAGTTTCCACCCGTTGCTTCTTGTCCTGCCTTCAGGTGCTTTGGAAAATAGTTTAATTCCCTCTTCTTTATGGCAGCCCCTGAGATATTGGAATACTGCTATCATGTCCCCCCTTGTCCTTCTCTTCGTTAAACTAGACATACCCAATTCTAGCAACCGTTCCTTATATGTTTTAGCCTCCAGTCCCCTAATCATCTTTGTTGCTCTTCTCTGTACTCTTTCTAGAGTCTCAACATCTTTTTTACATCGTGGTGACCAAAACTGGATGCAGTATTCCAAGTGTGGCCTTACCAAGGCATTGAAGAGTGGTATTAATACTTCACGTGATCTTGATTCTATCCCTCTGTTAATGCAGCCTAGCACTGTGTTGGCCTTTTTGGCAGCTGCAGCACACTGCTGGCTCATATTTAAGTGATTGTCTACTAGGACTCCGAGGTCCCTCTCACAGTTACTACTATTGAGCATGGTGCCACCTATGCTGTACTTGTGCATTTGGTTTTTCTTGCCTAAATGTAGAACCTTGCTTTTTTCACCATTGAATTTCATTTTGTTAGTTAGTGCCCAGTGTTCAAGTCTGTCCAGATCCTTCTGTATCTTAAGCCTGTCTTCTGGAATGTTGGCTATTCCTGCCAGCTTGGTGTGATGAGTTCCCCATCTATCCCTTCATCCAAATCGTTGATGAAGATGTTGAAGAGCACTGGGCCCAGAGCAGAGCCCTGGGGCACCCCACTACACACTTCCCTCCATATAGATGCAGTTCCATTGAGGACCACTCGCTGAGTACGGCCGGTCAGCCAGCTACGGATCCATCTGGTGGTGATTCTGTCTACCCCACATTTTTCTATCTTGTCAAGTAGTAGGTTGTGATCTACTTTATCAAATGCCTTACTGAAGTCCAAGTAAATTATGTCCACAGCATTCCTCTGATCCACTAATTTTGTCACTTGGTCAAAGAATGCAATAAGATTTGTCTGGCATGATCTATTTTTGACAAACCCATGTTGGCTTTTAGTAATGACTTTGTTTGCCTCTAGGTGTTCGTTGATTCGTTGTTTGATTATCTTTTCCAGGATCTTCCCAGGTATTGAGGTCAGGCTGATAGGTCTGTAATTTCCTGGATTCATTTTTTTTCCTTTTTTGAGGATGGGAACTACATCAGCTCTTTTCCAGTCCTCTGGTAGTTCCCCCGTGTTCCAGGATCTTTGAAAAATATAGTTCAGTGGTTCCGATATCACATCTGCCAGGTCCTTGAGAACTCTGGGCTGCAATTCATCTGGCCTTGAGTTGCCTCAGAAAAGAAAAAATAACCGATGAATGGAAAAATGCTGAAGTGCTTCTTATACACAGGAAAAGGGCCAATATGATTTAAAGAACTATTGCCCAATAAGCCTCCTTTCACACATTGACAAGGTTTTCACCAAGATAATAGCAAAAAGAATATTAAGAACATTAAATGATGCACAGCCAAAGGAGCATGCAGGGTTCAGAAGTGGTTACAGCACAATAGATCACATCCAGGTTGTTCATCAAGTCATTGAAAGGTACAACAAATACACCATGCCTCTTTGCATGGCTTTCATTGACTACAATTTCATTGACTACAACTCAGAATTCCAGCAAGCAATAATTAGGGCATTGCTCAACCAAGGCAACAATAAATATACTACAATCAATATATGAAAAACAATGGTAACAATTTGCCTTAATGATCTTAAAGTGGAAATCAACATAGAACAAGGTGTACGACAAGACAATACAATATCCCTATTCTTTTCTCAGTCTGCCTTTAAGAAGTATTTTGCAAACTAGACTGGGCAAAAAATGGAATAAAAATCACTGGTGCTTATTTAAATCACTTAAGATTTGCAAATGATATTGTTCTCTTTTCCCAAGATCCAGAAGAGCTACAAATAGACATATGAGAGCTGCACAAAGCAGGAGAACCATTTGGCTTAAAAATAAACCTGAAAAAGAGCCAGGTTATGTTTAATAAATTCATCAAAGAAAGAAAAGAAGTATATGTGAAGAAGAATTAGATATAGTAGACCACTGCATATACCTTGGCCAATGGATGTCAGTGGAAGGTGATACAATAAAGGAAATTGATCGACATGTTAAATGTGGTTGGTAGGCATTCAGCAAGCTAAGTATAATTTTTAAGAACAACTTCCCCCTATGCCTGAAGAGAAAAGTTTTTGATCAGTGTATACTATCTGCTCTAACATATGCCAGTGAATCATGAACACTAACCTCACAATTGATACAAAAGCTCCAAGTGGCACAAAGAGCCATAGAAAGATACATGCTCGGCATTACAAGACAAGATAGAAAGACCTGCATGTGGATTAGAGTACAAACGAAAGTATATGATATCATCAAGAAGAGTAAAAGAACTGAAATGGAAATAGGCCAGTCACATAGCAAGAAGAACTGATGGCAGGAGGACCAAGGCAGTCATAGAATGAATCCCACTCGATAAAAAGTGTCCACGAAAGAGACCTAAAACAAGATGGATCGACAGCATCAGCAAGTTTTGTGGGCCCAATTGGCAGGACTGTATGGGTCCTTGACTGTAATAAACTTGAACTTGAACTTCATCACGCAATGGATAGAGAATGGTAAAAATGATGATGAGAATGAATATTATGTGCCAGCAGAGTACAAACAATTTATTCCCTCAAAAACCTCAAGGTTCATTTCCAAAGAAAGAATGCTTCAGGATACAGCTGCCAATCAATTTTGCGGGGGTATTGTGGATTAAGATTTATAATATTGTCACTGCTTATAGCAGTATGGTTCAAATGTTAAGGATGATATCTTGAGTTAAAAGGATGTGGGTTTATATTGATACAAAAATGATTCTTAAGAAAAGCTATACCATATTAAATTAATCATTCATACTAGGACTCCTTAAAGCAAGTACTCAATTAATTAATTGATCTGCCTTAAGGCTGTATGAAGGAAAAGACTGCTGTTGTTAAAGCGTTCAATCACATCTTGCCTCTTCATGATTTAATGCAGTGGTCCCCAACCTCTCTGGCTCCATGGACCGACAGCAGTAGTGGCGGCAGGAGGGAGGGTTTGGTTTTGCATGTGCAACTTAACTCCCATGCATGCTCAAATGAAGCCTCAAGCACTCGCCTCCTGCTTGCATGGCCTGATTCCCAACAATTCTGGTCCAAGGACTCAGGATTGGGGACCCTTGATCAGGTGGATATTATTCTACTAGAACTGTCTTTGTGTAATCTCAAGATTTCATGGAAGCCCAGTTGTTCCAAGGGCATGTTAGTTAAACTGGGAAATAAACAAAACACAGCAAAACATTCTGTAAGAAGATCTTGGCAAACACTTCCCAAAACCTGCCAGGAAAACTGCAGAAATGCAGCTGCAATGAGTTTACTTTATTCAACAGCATCCTTACTTTATTTTTTCCAGGATTATTAGTGGAAGCCTTAAAGCAGGAGTCTTCAAACCTGGCCCTTTTATGATTTGTGGACTTCAGCTCCCAGAATTCCTCAGCTAGAGTGCTTGGCTGAGGAATTCTGGGAGTTGAAGTCCACAAGCCCTGCCCTAAAGAGTTGACACCTTTATATATTTGTGGTTATTTCTGTACCTTGAATATGTGGCAATTTAGCCATTGCTAGGAGGCTGCGTAGCAAAGTTTGGCTTGTGGTTATTGTCCCAGCAGTAAAGAGAGCAAGCACAGTAATCACAAGATCATCAAGAGTGTAGATTCCCTCAGATGAGTTCTGCTCCTGAAAAGAAAATAGAAAGGGAAACAGAAGGATGAAAATGGGGTTGATTTAAAGTAATTTATGAAACTCTTCATACTGTTTCTCTCAGTTAAAGGAAACTTAACTAACTAACTTTAGAATATATAGGAGAATTTTTCAATTGTAAAGCATTTATGCAATCACCATTTGATGCAGAGAGGAAACAATTTGCCTGTCTGACCTATCTATCAAATATTTACCACAAGAAATTACGAGAATTAAAGGTTGTTATTTAGAGCTGGACAAAAACAACTCTTAAGCTGCTATGGTGGGAAAACTGAATTAGATCTGAGCATAGAAGCTTGAATGTTATATCTGAGAGACTAATTCTAATAGAAATTGCTCCTGCAAGATGAATTATTATCTTTATATCACCTATTAAGAGTGTAGAAGAGGTGTAAATTAGCATGTAAAGCAAATGTCTATACTTACTCATTTTTAATTATGTCGGGCATAGGAGTACATGTTAATAAATGGCAAATTAAAGTAATAAAAAGGGGGATAAATATTTTCATATTCTTTCATACAAGATGAACTAGTTTCATCTTAGATACATATTGGAGATATTTAGACAGTTATGCAGAGATGGTATCTATGCCTACCTTCTCCATTCTATGAAGGAAGCAATCAATATAGTCACGCGGGTTCTGGGGATCCAATGTCTTCTTGTGCAATTCCACTTTCTCACGGATATAATCATAGACTTTTTCTGTCTCAGACTCGATATGTCGTCCAAAAAAGTATTCCATTGTTTTTGGAAAAGTATTGTACACCTGTTGCAGAGTTGACATTAAACAGTATATGTTTTTAGACCATAATGGTGAAGGCTTAATGCCCCAAATATTCAGAGATTAGCTTTTAGTCTGATATTGTTAATTATCAAACCTCAGCTAGGTGCCAAGACCAAGGAGACAAGTTCCACAAGAATTTCAGTAAGCTATCTTTAATTTTAGTGTTGAGCAAATACAGTGTCTTAGGAACGACTGCATGGTAGGAATTTTTATTTATAATAAGTTGATTAAAAAGGAATCTCTTTGACAAGCCTTTTCCCCAGATCTTTCCTCACCTAGGCTGAGTTCCCTGCAGGATATATTCTGTCAAGCCTCACCCCAGCTATCCCATGAAGGGATAATGATGAAAATGATGACAGTTCTTGAAGCAGGGAGGAAAGAGGGACATAAGAATAGGGGAAATGTCTAAAAACGCCATGAGAAGAAGAGAGGCGCCTGTGCATAATTTGATATGATGATTATCAAATTATATATAGTTAAATATGTAGCATTGTACTTTTAAAAACTATTATAATAATATACCTTTCAGTTTGATCACAATATTGATATTCCTCTTATATCACAAACCTAATAGTTCGGTGGATAATGCTATTGTCATTTCTTAGAACAACATGGAAATAAGTTTGAGAATTAAAGTTAAATTTTCAGTCAAGGGATGAAAAAATTAAGTGAAACATTACAATTAGGAGGAATCAGCCCCTCCAGTGAAATTCCATGTTTGGCTCTCCCTGACTAATTAAGAAATGGGCAAGTCCTAGAAATAAGCAGGTCAGGGCCCACAGCAGTTATGAGAGAATGAAATGATCCTGTGGGAAATAAGCCCAGCCAGGAAAGAAGATTTGCTGAGAACCAATTTATATTTTGATGGCTCAGTCTTGCTGGACGTCTGGATTTGACTTCTCCTGCTTATCTACAGTATCTTATCTCTACATCTACAGTAATCTCCACATCCCTTATTTGGATATTCGAACACACAAAGAGGCCCACTAGTAAAAATGAGTGTTTATAGCAGGAAGAGCATCAGAGAGGAAAAACATACCAGTCCTAGGAAACTAGTCAGAAATCTTATTTGATACTCCACAATCTGCTGGTTCTCTATGAAGGTTTGATCTTTGTAATCAAATCGATTGCCAAAGACAACTGCACAGATCACATTAGAAACAGCACTTGCCAAATTTCTTCTTGGGTCAAAAGGCTGCCCTGCAACAAAGGCCACAGACATTTATGGGACGGATCAAAGAATGGGAAACTTCCCTTCCACAATTCTCACCACAGAACTGCAACAAAAAAAGTGTGTTTGGGTCAAAGAAGTTATTCAAAGATTTTATTGGTATTTTTTAAATAAATAATATTAAATAGAAGAACCTAGATGTAATTAAATGAAAACATAAACCTTATAACCACTAGAGGTTTTTTTCAAAACCTTCTTGCTGTCTTCTGTCAAGAATTGTTTTCTCACTTTCTCTGCCCTTTTCTGCTTATAGTGGGTTTTTCCCTCCCTGTTCCTTCCCTTAGAAGTTTCTATTTCCAGTTTTCACTCTCCTGACTGTCTCTCCCTCCACCTTCTAATTTCTTCTTTCTTTTTAAAATATAATCCTATTATTTCATTTCTTTCCCCTTCTGATTCCAGAGATTTGTGCATTCATGATTATATTCAAAAGAGGCACAAATCTTTAGAGGAATACTATTTATGACTATATGTTTTCCTTTCTAGTTTTGGATTACCTATGTCATTCATCCATAACTTCTTTTTCTGGCTCTTGAATTTGCCTGATATATAATCATGTTCAAATAAATTGTTTAAACAGTTTTTTTGGCTTCTTTTCCCAGTTTTAACTGAGCACTCTATTCCCTCAGCACTGTCTCCTTCTAATCTATCCAGCTCTTTTTTTAAATAATAATAATAATAATAATAATAATAATAATAATAATAATAATATTCCATTCACACTTTTTTTTCTATTTATTTTTTTAAATCTCCTTCCAGAAAAGACTTGTCCATGGAACATGATTTTCCAAGATGCTACATCTCCTGGAAAAAAAATAAATTTATATCTGTCAAGCACCAGGCAAATCAGGCGATCCAGGCAGTTGAAATGGGTATAAAGATTTATTGTAACCTTAAGCTCTCTACAAGAATCTGAACTAATAATGGCCAAAGGAAATTAGCGGGAAATAAGAGTAGAAGGATTCAAGATAGGCTCAATGTAGATCTCTTGTGGGCATGAAGGGACTCATGACTGATGATTTGTTTGATCCCTCCCTTGGGATCACCCTGGTCATTTCCTACAATAGCCTTAATTCAAATCCACGCCACCTCACAGATCTCCGTCACTCATGCAGTTGATTCTTATCCATATTTTCCTTACCTCATTTATTTTACACACATATATATACCTATCTAAGTTTTTCTTTATTTTGTGCACTTAAGCACAGATGATTTGAGTTTCAGTTTAGAATCTAGTTTTCCTGTAACTTCACATAAAACAACAAACCCTTTCCAGTTTCATATTTTAAAAGATAATAGTCTTCCTGATATGATTCTTCTGTGGGAGAACAGCTCTCAGTTTCTTTAGAAGACCTTTTGTGACAGCCATTTCCTCCACCAGACAAAGGGCTTCCTCCTGCACCCTCTCAAACATTCTTTTCTTCCCCATCCCAAAATCTCGCAAGGTGGACAGTGTGAACCGTCGCAGCTCCCTCCATTTCTTCTCATCATTTGTAGATATTCCTGAAACAAAAGACACCAAAAGGATCATGATGTTGGTCAATTCTCAGCTTTTGTGGAAGAGCATGTTTCGATATAATATTTCAGGCACTTTTCTTTTTCAAATCTTTGTTTCAATCATAGGTGAAAGAGGCTACTACACTGCAATAAATTATGCATCAGAGAAATGTCCTTCCTCACATTTAAAGTAAACAAGGCTTGATGTTTGAAATACCAATGAAGCAAACTTCACAGTTGCCATCTTTCCATTCTTGACTGCTGTCATAAGTGTGTTATAGATAGAAAGAAATCCCTACACTAGACATGGAACTCTATACTGAGATGCCGTTTTCAGTAAGCAGAAGAAAATTGGAGTCGTTTTGAGTTGTGGATTTTATTTTATTATTATTATTTGCTGTAGAGGCTTTATTGACAAAAATAAATCACTTCCAATTATGTATGTACTAGCTTGCTTGATTGTGTGCTAACAAGTTACTCTCAACTCTTAGCTACCTTTAGATTTCCTCCAACACAATCTATCCCTAACCTAATTCTTCAGGACTTGTAAGGGTACATTTGTCATCATTTTAACTGAGTTCATTGACGTTGCAGATGGCCCTCCTCTTCCCTTTATTTTTCTCACCATTATACCCTCCTCTAGGGAGCGAGACCTTTGAACCATACTGTATGTCTGAAGAATGATAATTTCAGTCTGGTCATTTATGCATTCAGTGGAAACTCTGAGCTGATTTGCTCAATGAACTATTTGTTTCTTATTCTTGGATGTCCACAATATTCTCAGAGATTTTGTCCAACATCAAAACCATATTCTTTCAATATTCTTTCTCTCCTGTTTATTCAAAGTCCAAATTGTCAAAGTATCCTCTTTGAAGAACATTTTGTCTGCCTTCCCAAAGGACCATTTTAAAGGGGAGATTACTTTTTTTTTTGAATGTAAGGAACAACCAGAACAGATTTCAGAAGTGATCAGTGGAAGCGAAAGGATGAAAAAAAGGTGTTCCTCCCTCTTCAAAAAACATGACCAGATTAACCTCTTTACAAGTGAAACTTGTAAACTTTCATTTCAAGTGAAACTTTCATAACTATCAATAATATTAAGAGCATTAAAATAATTTAAAATTACTTATAGAAAATTAAAAAGAGCAATAACGAATAAGGAAATAAAAGAGAATCAACCTTTATTTTGGTTTATTCGTCTGTGAAAGTGCGTATGAGATCGCCCACCAAATTCTTCTGCTTGATTTATCAAAGCATCTTTTACCACCTCATATCCACAAAGAGCAACCATTGGTTTTGATCCAATCCAGATAGTAAATATAGGTCCATACTTTTCTGTAAGCTAAAGGTAAAATTAGATGAAAACCCAGTTAATTAAACGATAAAGCATTTTTTGGTGAAATTATTCTAAAGCATACTTGAAATAATTTTTAAATTCATAACAGAGAAATCATGTTGAATCTAACCTTTAATAATTCTTAGTATCTACAGGATAAATCAATTTGATTGGATAAATTGCATGTACTGTATCTCCTAGCTGGAGAGATGATGGGAATGAGATAATCACAATTTTGACTGTGTAATACATTTCTGCAAGTAATCTGGTACCGCAAAATATATGATAGCAAGTTTTGCTTGTAACCACATATTTTAATGAACTTTGTAACCTCCATTGTGTGTTTATCAGACTGTAATTAGGTGACTTTAAATTAAATTCCTACTGAAGATGCACAAGAGCCCCTAATAAAATTGGACTCTTATAAAAGAAAATCAAACTCCTTAAACCAGGGAAATGTGCGGACTTCCGGTGGCTGTGTTGGTGTTGATAGCAGCTGTTTTACAGCTGCCTCTCCTGGGAGATCGTAAAAGCCGGTTAAACAGCGATGACCAGCTGTTTTATGGCTTGAAACCTTCTTCCCGGGTGAAGGGAAGAAGTTGAGCTTTCTCCTGGATAGGAGTTGAACCTCACCAACCTCCCAGGGATTTTTTCTCAGGAGGTGAAGTGTGAGTGATCCTCCATAGTCCGGGTGTGCTCCGTTTCCTGGGATGCCTTTGTTCTCTGAGAACGAAGCCAGACGCCGCCCCCACCGCTGCTCTGCTAATGAAAACTGTAAGTGACTTTTAAAGCAGACAGAGCTCTCAGGAGAACAATGACTGGATTTTACTTTTAAATTAACTCCGGGGAAAATTAACATCTTCTCCTGTTATTATCTGAACAAATTGCTGGAGCAAAAAATATGGCGGAGGAATATTGTTTCTTTGTTACTCTTCTTGTTTGAATACTTTCATTTTCTATTTTTTATTGATTGAGCTTTATCAACGTAATGGACTTGATTTGTTTAAGAGAATTCTTTCTTTTTAAGGAGTAAACTTTTTTTTTTACTGTTCTTGCTCTTTTTACTTTTATTAGTTTTCAATTCTTTTTTTAAAAAAGGATTGTTAAAATGGCCTCAAAACGTCCTGGACCTGCTTCTCTTCCTAAAGTTGCAACTCTTCTTTAGCAACTCAGACTGTACAACAACAATCCAGACCTAAACTTTCTCCACCCTCACCACCACCGCAGTCAATAACACTTAAAGATTTGCAAGATGCTTTGGAAAACATTTACGAGAAAACTATGAGAAAACTATACAAAAGACAGCAGAACTTATTGAGAAAAAAAATGATCAGATGAGAGTAGATATTATTTCTGCACTGAAGGGGCTTGCTGGACTTGTAGAAAAAATTGATGACAGGGTGGATGAAGTGGTGGGGAAGGTTGAAATACTACAAGACAGAGTTGATAAGATAGAAGATAATACAGACAATATTCAGGATGAGATTTTAATGTCACAATATAGAGAAATGGAGTTTGCTTTGAGAATAAGGGGTTTGAAGGAGAATCTTCAGGAAAATCTGAAGGAAGAAATTGCAATTGAATTGTCTTCTATTTTGGAATGCGAACCTGAAGCAATGCTGAGAGATATAGAAAAGATTTTTAGAGTTAATTCATGGGTCGCAAAACAGAGGAAGCTACCAAGAGATGTGGTGATTTACTTTGCTAGAAGATCTTTGCGGAATGAAATTATTCAGGCTTTTTATAAGCATAGATTTCAGATAGCAACTCAAGATGTGATAATCTTAAAAGAAATACCTTCAAAAATCCTTAGGAGAAGGAGAGATTTTGCTTTTTTGGCGGATGAACTTAAGAAACAACAAATTCAATTCAGATGGGATATTCCTGTGGGGATAGTGGTGACTTATTTGGGTGTACGTTATCGCCTTAATACAATTTCTAAAGCAAAAGATTTTTATATGACTGTGTTAAAAGCAGAGTCACCACCATCTCCAAGATCAAAAAAAGATGAGAGCAAGGCAGAAACACAATCTGATGTAGGCTTAAAGCCATGCCCAGGAGAAGAGTTATTGGTTGAATCTATTCAATTAATTGATGACCCAAAACAACAGAGAATTACACATGCTGCTTATAAACATAGAGAAAGAGAACAACAACAGCAACAGCAACAACAACAAAAGGTGGATGATGGATTACACTTTACTTTGGAGCCAGTGGGAGGAGCAAGGCCAAAGAAGTCATCGACTGCAAGTCTAGAGGTTTTGTTCCAAAGGCTTCAACCTGCCAAGAATGGCAAATCTTCTAACCTGGAATGTTAATGGGCTAAACACTCCACAAAAAAGAAAGAAAGTTTTTTACTATTTGAAACAACATAAAAATGATATTATTTGTTTGCAAGAGACTCATATTATTTCTAAAGATCAAAAATACTTGTTTAACCCTCGGCTTGGGGTACATTTTATAGCTCCTGCACTGCAGAAAAAAGGAGGTGTAGTTATATATGTAAGAAAAGAGCTTTCATCAAAATTAATTGACTTGGACTTACAAGGCAGATATGTTATTATTGATCTTTTAATAAATGATAATAGAACTCTTCTTGTTGGATTATATGCTCCCAATCAACAACAAAAACATTTTTACAAGATGATTCATCAGAAACTAATTTCTTTGGATTATAAATCGGTTATTATGATGGGAGATTGGAATGGTGTTTTGGATCCAAGCAAAGATAAGAAGCTAGACTTCCGAAAACTTTTTTTGATTTAAAGGAAGATTTGGAACTCAGAGATATTTGGAGAGAATGTAACCCTCAGGAAAAAGATTTCACCTTTTTTTCAGACAGGCATCAATCTTATTCTAGAATTGATTTTTTTCTCGTTACTAATGACTTTTCTTTCAGAGTGAAGAATACTAAGATATTCTCTAGAATTTTTTCAGATCATAGTCCTGTATGGTTGCAAATTTCTATGGATAAAGGGTCCAGAAGGTCTTGGAGGTTAAATGAGAATTTATTTAGATATGAAGAGAATATACAGAAATGTAGAGATTATTTAAAAGAATTTTTCTCTTGGAATATGAATAAGGGCACCTCGATGCCAATGGTTTGGGATTCCAGTAAAGCATACATGCAAGGGATTTTGATCTCTATGAATAATGCTCATAGACGTAAACAAACTGAGAAGCGTAAAGAGTTAGAAGATGAGATTAAATGTAAGGAAAAGATTTTATTATTAAATCTAATGGATAATAATTTGAAAGCTTCTATAACTCTGCTTAAGGAACAATTTAATATGTTAATAGCGGATCAGATGGCAACTAATTTGAGGTACATGAAGTATAATACATTTTGTAATGCAAATAAACCTGGTAGATGGTTGGTTTATCAATTACGTAAGAAGCAGAAATCAAGGATTATAAACAAAATATGTTATACAGGCAAAGAGGTGTATCAACAAAATTTGATTAAAAAGGCTTTTTTAGATTTTTATTCTAAGTTGTATACTAGTGAAGCTATACAAATCTCAGATGTAGAAAATTATTTACAACAAGCCAATTTTCCCAGACTTACGACTGATCAGCATGATGGAATTAATGCTGCAATTACTGCTGAAGAGATTACCTCTGCAATTAAACAATTAAAGGTTGGTAAGATGCCAGGTACTGATGGATTAACTGCAATTTATTACAAGATGCTATTGGAAGAAATGATAGAACCATTGAAGGAACTTTTTAATGACATTTTGCTGGGAGCAGAGTTACCTCCATCCTGGAAAAGGGCCTTCATATCATTGATTCCAAAGGATGATCAGGACTTGTCCCAGCCTAGAAATTATAGGCCTATATCTTTGTTAAATACGGACTATAAGATTTTTGCAAAGATTTTGGCAAATAGATTAATGCAGATTCTGAAACAATTGATCCATACTGATCAATCGGGATTTATAACGGGAAGATATATGAAAAATAATGTAAGACAATTGGTTAATATAATAGAATATTTGGATAAGAATAATCAAATTCCTGCTGCCTTAAAATTTATAGATGCGGAGAAAGCTTTTGATCAATTAGATTGGAAATTTTTATTGAAAGTGGTAGAGGAAATGAATTTTGGAGATAAATTTTTGTGTGCTCTTAAAGCTGTATATCAGCAACAATCAGCACAAATTATAATTAATGGGGGATTAACAGAGCAATTTAAAATAGAAAAAGATACTGGGCAAGGTTGTCCTTTATCCCCTTTGTTATTTGTATTAACTATGGAAATCTTACTTATTAAAATTCGAGAATCCTCTAGATTAAAAGGAATAAAAATAAATAAGATTGATTATAGGTTGAAAGCTTTTGCTGATGATTTGGTGGTGACATTATCTTATCCCATAGATTCAGTTAATGAATTGGTTGAAATTTTAGCGCAGTACGGACAGGTCTCTGGTTTTAAGGTGAATAAGAATAAAACTAAAATTTTACTTAAAAATGTGTCTATGAAGGGAAAAGATACTATAGCTGAAGAAACAGGTTATGATGTAGTTAATAAGGTTAAGTATTTAGGAGTATATATCACAACATCTAATGGGAAATTGTATAAGAATAATTATGAACAATTGTGGATAAAGGTACAAAAAGACCTAAATAACTGGCAAAAACTACAATTATCTTTGTTGGGGAGAATTTCAGTAGTAAAGATGAATGTTCTACCAAAGTTTCTTTTTTTATTTCAGATGTTATCCATTTTGAAAAAGGATGCAAATTTGGAAGAGTGGCAGAAGGGTATCAATAAATTTATATGGGGTGGCAAGAAACCAAGGGTTAAGTTTAAGATTTTACAGATGCTAGAGAAAGGGGTGGACTTAAAGCACCTAATCTGAAATTATATTATGATGCGGCCATTATAACTTTAGTAAGTGATTGGCTTAATTTAACAAACAAAAATATTTTGGTTCTTGAAGGCTGGGATTTATTATTTGGTTGGCACGCATATTTAGTTTTTGAGAAAGTAGATTGGGTGTTTAAGTCACATATTTTAAGAAATGCCATACTCCGTGTCTGGAGGAAGTATTATTATAAATTGAACTATAAAATACCCATTTGGGGGATTCCTGGACAGGCAATTCAAGGGGTTTCTAAGGGGGTGAATTTTGACAATATTTCCTATAAAGAATTGCTCATTTGGTCAGGTACAGATTGGCAATTAAAGTCTTTTGATTTGTTAAGGCAAGAAAATATTTTACGATCATGGTTTCAATATTTACAAATAATGGAGAGATGGAGGGTAGATAAGAAGGTGGGAATTACTTTAACAGATGAGAACTTGGTAATTCAGATTAAAGATCAGAAATTTGCTCATATTAAAAGAATTTATAATGAGTTGATAAAATTGGATTCAGAAACAGAATTAGTAAAAGATTGTATGATCAAATGGGCCCAGAATATACAAGAACCAATCTTAATGGATTCTTGGGAGATAATCTGGGTTAGAAATGTTAAATTTACTCAAGCACAAAACTTGAGGGAAAACTTTTACAAAATGTTTTATAAATGGCATTTGGATCCTAAAAAGTTATCTTGTATGTATCCGAATTTGCAACCCAAATGTTGGAGATGTGGTTCCTTGGACGCAACTTATTTTTATGTTTGGTGGACTTGCAAAAATATTAAAGCTTTTTGGATTATGATTTGGTGGAACATTCAAAAGGTTTTTAAAAAGAAAATTAAATTTACTCCCCAATTATTTCTTTTGGGAATTTTTGTGGATTTTGATGTTAAAGAAACTATTTTAATGCTGAATTTAATAACAGCAGCAAGACTATTGGTGGGTCAGTATTGGAAAAAAGATTCTCTGCCTTCTTTGGAAGAATGGGTGTTCAAGGTTTCTAACTTAGCAGAAATGGCTAAAATTTCTGCTTACTTAAAGGACCATTCACAAAAGAGATATGTTTCTGTATGGAGAAGATGGATAGAATATATTCAGAAGAAATATGGAACAACAAAGTTTTATTTATTTTATGAATAATGGATTTTTATTAAATTATGAATTCAAGTTTGCAGAGAGTTAAGGGTTATTAGGACTCCATTTATTGTATAAGTAGTAAATTTAAGCTGACTATGTTTAGTTTTCTTTTTTTTCTTCTTCTTCTTCTTTTTTTCGTAACCCTGTATTGAGCTCTGGGAAGTCGGGGGGGAGGGGGGAGGGGAGAGTATGGGTAGTATTTTCAATAGTTCAGATTTTGGTGATAATGGATTGCTCGGGCATTTTCCCTCAGACTGCATCCGATTGAGAAGAAGAAGAGAGGGATAAGTAAGTAGAAAGATGGAGGAGAGAGGGAGGGGAGAAGAGGAGGAGGTAGAAGGAAGGGGGGAGTGAAGAGATGAGAGGGGGATGCGGTCTGGAGGGGAAATGGGTGAGCAATGTCGGAATTTGTGTTCTATTTTAACTTCTTATGTATCTGAATTTTTTTTTCTTATGATTGTAATGAAAATAAAATAATAAAAATTGAAAAAAAACTAGGGAAATGTGCATATAACTTTCAAAATAATCACCTGAAAAAGCAAAGAAGTACAATAGGTACCTTTTTATAGGATTTTTTTAGCTGAAAGAAGTTCCCCAGAATAGGCCATGGAGTAGGTCCAGGGGGTAGCTGCCCTTTTTTCTTGTACATTTGGAAAGATGAGAAAAGGGTGAAAAGTATACAGAGAAGAAGCAGAACTCCTGCCCATGTCAGCTCCATCCTCTCCTCAGTTGTTTTCCTCTTCAAAAATCCAAAAAGCTGTTTAAAGGAGACAAGGTTGAAAGAAGGAGACCAATTGAATCCCCAATCACATCTAAATTCTTCACTTCCTCTAACCTTTATATACCTCCTTGTTTACATTCAGCTCAAATTATTCTTTCACCTCTATTAGTATAGGAGAGTTACTTATCAACATTTTTATCTTTGGACTGTGGACAACTTTGGCTAAATCCTTAAATAAACAACTCATTTTAAGCACTCTCTCTTATTTGCTAACTATACAATAACTTGTGAAAGAGTAATTAATTAACTTTTGCTACTGAACCCTGTGAAACTTACGTTTTTCTTTTTCTTTCACTGAGTTGTCACAGCCCTGAATTCAATATTATGATCATAAGTAAGTACAATGTTGTCATGACCTTTAACTGGGCAAAATGGTGCATCATGGGGCAATATTTTTTGTGAATGAAGGTGAATATACATGTCCTGGGATAACGTCACCTGTAGTCACATTCAATGTTTGGATGAGCCCGTATTGTAATTGTTATGTCCTGGGCCTGCTGAGTGACTCAGCAGGTGTAGGAAGCTGCAGAGACGCCCGGGCAGACCACGTGAATGCCTGGGACCATACAGGCTGTCTCCAGCCTATTGCGCATGCGCAAGGTGGGAGAAATATGTTGCATTGATTGGTTAACACTGTCCCTGAAAAGGGTTATAAAAGGAATCTGTGCCATTTTGTTTTGGTTCTGTTGGTGATTAAATAAAGAGAAGACTGTTGTTACTCCTGCCTCGTCTCAATGCCTTTATGATTGAAACAGAACAGTAATGACAGCCAAAAAGACTTTGTTACCTGTAATTGATCTGGCCACAGTGGCACATACCTTGATTCAAGGTTGACTTAGCCTTCCATCCTTCCGAGGTCGGTAAAATGAGGACCCAATCAATCAATCTGTTTATTACCACCATAAGGCCAGACATAATCAAAATATAACAACAGTGACAATTTTACTTCCATATTTATAGAATATAAAACCATCAAACAATCAATGTAATATAATCCGAAATTCTAAAAATAAAACATCATATTAAATTTTTTCAGACCTTGATAATGGTGCGACGTATTGTGCAAATAGTGGCACAAAATTGGCCAACCTGAATTGATATTTTCGGATCCTTATCCAAAAGTAGCAACTTTAGATAAAATTCATAGCCCCTACCTGGAAACTTCTTCAATATTGGATATATAAGAATCTATTTATATAAAGAACAATGAAGCAGCATATGGCTTAGGGTTTCTATAGAGTCATCACCACATGGACACAACTGAAGGTGCATAGGAATGCCCTTAAACCATCCAAAAAGGACTGCCGAGAGCAACACATCCAGCCCTGGCTAAGGTAAAAGCTTTACGAAATTTCAAAATTGTAATGGAAAATAGATAAGAAGCTGGGGAAAAACCTTCTGGAAGCAAGTGACAAATATTGGAATGTGCCACCTTACTTAAGTTTGTTTGGAGATCAATATCCCAGATACATTGATTCAAGGCAGTTCTAGCATTATCAAATCCTAATGAACACAGACTTTCCATAGAGAAGCCCAGCGATTTAATTTTATCTAGTGCTTTTTTTCCCCACGACGATTTAAAATGACCAATAAATACTAACGGGGCTAACCCTACAGCCATCAAAATTAACTTTAGCCAAAAGGTAATAAGAAAGAACCATGCTCTAGCTTCCAATGAAACTAAACCTATTTCCACCTGTAGGATGGCATTTTTAACACTTTTAGGTACCATCAGTATGGCTCTAATAAACTTATGTTGAATAATTTCAATAGCATTAAGCTTTGCAAATGAACATATTTGCGAGCCATAGAGGAGCTGAGGGAATGCATTAGCTTGGAAAACCTTACAAGCTGCCGGGATGTAGTAAGCTCCTTTAGAACAGCGGTTCTCAACCTGTGGGTTGTGACCCCACTTGGGGTCAAACGACCATTTCACGGGGGTCGCCAAACAACACAGTCCGCCATTTTTCCCCCTTTTCCTTAGCTGTGCTACTCCCTTTTATTCTATTGGCTTTGGAAAGCCAATAGAATAGACTCTCTTGAATAGAGTCTAATTCTATTGGCTTTCAAAAGCCAATAGGAATTGTCCAGGCTGTCTCTGCCCTGCTGAGCCCACCAAAAGTTCCATTCTGCAAACGGTGCTGCAAGTTGTCTGCAGCAAAGGCGAGCTGTCTGGAAGTTTCCACCTCTCCCTGCTGAGCAACTACTAAAAATGTAAGTAAAAGAGGGCCAAGGGTGGGAGGTGCGTGGGGCCCGGCGGGTGTCTTACCTCCCTTGGGCTGGGCCAGCTAGTGGCCCAGCCGGTGGTCTCCCTGCGCCGTTGCTGCCCCTTGCCAGCTATGCCTCGGCCAGTGCAGGGGGCGGCACCATGCATGCGCGGCACTCCCAGGCAGGGAAAGTCCTCGACTTACGACCGGTTGGGTAGTCCTCGACTTACGACTGGTTGGGGGTCACGGCATTAAAAAGGTTGAGAACCACTGCTTTAGAATGATAAAATTTTATGATAGCTGATGAGGTGCACTGTGCAACACTTGCCAGATAAAGAAAATGAGTATGCCAGGATAGGGAGTCATGGAATTGCACTCCAAGATATTTATAGGTACTCACCTGTTCAATTGGAGTCCCATCAGTTTGTTATTTATGGATCTTATGATGGTAAGAGGCAAATAGTAAAACATTAGTTTTTTTCAAAATTTATTAATATTTTGTATTCTATGCAAAATAAAGCTAGTGCCCTAAGTGCTTTTCTCATTCCCACCTGAGAAGTGGACAAAATAACTATATCATCGGCATACAATAGTGCTGGAATTACACAATCAGCCAAGATAGGTGGATGATGGGCTGGAGCAGCAAGCACTTTCATTCTTGGATTTAGGTACAATTTTAAAAATTGGGGAGCTAATATGCAACCTTGCCTTACACCTCTGTAAGTTGGGACTGCTTTAGATGAATGTCCCCAGGGGGAACATCTGATTTTTAGAGAGGTATTTGAATAGAGTGACTGAATGAGAACCAACAGCCTTTTATCAATCGTGGAATGTCTTAGACTACACCACAATCTCTCCCTTGGTATTAGATCAAAAGCTGACTTAAAATCAACAAAAGTTGCATAAAGAGAACCATGAGAGGGAGTAGAATATTTTTCAGCCAAAGGTGCAAAATTAGACAATGATCCAGTGTTGAACGTTCCTCCCTATTACAATGGCCTGATTCCAATCAGGTGGAAAATGTCCTATGTTATTAATATGAGTGAATAGGATGGCTAAAACTGGTTCCCACCAGTCTTTATTTTCCCTTATTAATTCTGGGGGGATAAAATCCCCTCCGGATGCGTTACGTGATTTCAACTGGGCAATATGGATACTGGAGGCCAATCCGGGAAGTCATTACAGGGGGGATCACTTCTGAAATTACAGCAGGAATCCACTTAAAGATGTTTTTAAAATGATCCTCCCATTTGTCAGCAGATATTTGTGAAATAGGGCCAAAACTTCTATTTGTAAAAGACTGATTTATTAAATGCTAGAACAAAGTAGAATTTTAGAGCTTTGCTGCTGAAATTAGATTACTCCAATTTTCTTTTATAGCCTGTTGTTTCTTTATCTTTAAGAGATCTTTATAATTTTTTTGTGGTCTTGAGTAATTTAGAAGCATTCACCAAATTTTCCTGGCGAAAGGAAATTATTGCATTTAAGAGAGCTTTTTTTTTTGCTTTAATGCAATCACTATCATACCAAGATTTAGATCTTTTATGCACATGCACAAATAAGCTGTTGTAAATCTTGTCGGGGGGGGGGGGGGGTTGGAGATTAGTGGTAATTGATTGATACAATGAAAATGCTTGTTCATATGAATCAGATGACCAAATCTGAACATGCATATGAAGCAGGGGCTCTGAGGTCAACATTTCAGCCATAGTTTTGGCCAGTTCTTGAGACCATTTAATTTTTACTTGCCCCTTTATTGTAATATCGATGGGCAATGTGCCACTTCTAATAATTCAAAATTTGTCTTAGCCTTAAATGGAAAGTGGTCACTATCAAGGCGCGTTCCAATATAAAAGTAAACTATATGCTGTACAAAGTTCCGAGAGATCATAATATAATCCAGTATACTGGCTCCCTTAGGACCCCAGAATGTGAACTCTCTGTTTAAATCACCTCTAACAGAGCCATTAAATAAGACCAAATCTAAACTATCCACAAATTGATCCAGACGAAATCCTGCACTATTACATTTTTGATCTTTAGATTGTCTGGCTGCTATGAGGCCTACATTAATTTTAGGGGGCACTGGCCACTTAAAATATGTTTGTAGGGAAGCATCAGATTTGCCAATGCATGCGTTAAAATCGCCAGCTATTATTATAATTGAGTTTGGGTAATGCCATGATAGCAAATTTACATAGGGATCAAACTGATCCCACAGTTTGTTTATTTCTCTATGCCCACGAAATGGAAGGAAATATGCATTAACCAATAATACAGTGCAAGATTTGAATCTAAGTAAAAGGGCTAATGCCATATTTGAGCAAGACTCTAGCATAGATACTGAAACACTGAGTTTAACAGATACCATAGACCTGATGGTCTGTCCTTTTTTATGCATTCAGAGTAAAGGGAATATAACCAAAATTGTGTCATTCTCGTTTGTTGATTAGGGCTAGTTTCCAGAGGTCTGGTACGTGGGAGGTGTTGTCACATTTATTCATGTTGTGGGGCTGTTTTTCTATTTTGATGGCTTCCATAATTATTCTCTTGTTGTGGTGTTCAGTTTTGGAGATTAGTTTCATGTCCTGTAGCTTTAAGGTGCTGGAAGAGGGAGGAAGTTTTTTCTTCTTTTCTGGCTGCATTCTTGTGTTCTGTGAAGCATGCATTTATTCTCCTATTAGTTTGTCCAATGTATGTGGCTGGGCAGATTTTGCATGGTATTTCATAGACTCCTTGGTTTTCTAGCTGGATTATGTCTTTGGGGTTTCTTAAGATCTTGGCTATTTTTTGGTTGGTGCCGAAGGCTGTCTTGATATTGTGTTTGTGGAGAATTTTGCTGATTTTATCTGTGGTGCCTTTGATGTAGGTGAGGAGGGCGGGAGAAAACCCGAATAACCAAAGACCTACATATATAGTAGGCAAAGAATCTTTCTTCCAATATTGTCCAACCAATAACCTTGCCACCGTAATAAGATTCAACATTAAAATAGTTTCTTTAACATCACAATCTACAATAATACCTAACAAGAATAATTGTGGTGAAAACTTTATCTTTCTATTAAAAATCTTCTGAGTGTTCCACCAAATCTTAATCCAAAAGGCTTTTATGTTTTTACACGTCCACCAAATGTGGTAATAAGTTGCATCCAAGCATCCACCTCTCCAACACTTAGACTGTAAATTAGGATACATAATATCCTAATTTACAGCAAAAATATCCTAAGTTTGCAAAGTTTTGATTTTTGAAGTATTCTAGAATGTTGTGATTTAATGTGTGTCTCCTGGAGACAAATTATATCCATTTTTAGCTTTTGTAGTCTATGAAATGTTTTACTCATGTTTGATTGGGAGTTAAGACCATTTATATTTATTGAAAGCATTCCAATTTCCTCCATAGTTTCAGTTGTGTCAAGATCTCAATTTTCTAGAAGAGCTTATCTGCCTCTGATCTTTAGGCCTCACATCTTCCTCTGATTGAAACTTTTTAGGCGCTTCTTTCTCTGTTTGTTTCAATGTTCCTGCAGTCGTTTCCTCTGGTTTGTTAGGTTCCACCTCACCTCTCTCCAAGATTATTAAAAAAGTCCTCTGTTGATCCTTCTGGGATCAACCATCTGAAGTTCAGTCCTTTACTGATCAATTTCCTCGTTAAGAATTGGTATTCTCTTCGAGCTTCTCTAATTCTTCTTGGGATCTTTTTGAGAACTACCAAATCTTTATCTTTGTATTTCAGAGGTTGGTCCCTCATAGTCTCAGGATCACATCCCATACTGCTCTTTTGCTGAATCTAATATGAACTTCCCTAGGCATTCTATTTCTTCTTGCCTAATTTGAATTCACTCTAAAGACTTGATCAACTTCTCTTTTGATTTGATCCCTTTCCATTCCGAGCAAGTCCGCCAATAACTCAGTCATCAATAGTAACAAGTTGTCATCACTCTCTTCTACCACATTTTGGAATCTTAGAAAGTATGATGCACGTTCAAACTCCATCCTTGCCATATTTTCTTCCAGCTCCACATTAGATTGCACCAATCTTTGATTTTCATCTTGCAGAGCCTCTAATTTCTGGTCTACTACTACTGACTTGTCTTCAATATTTTGCATTTGTTGACTTCCGGTGGCGATGGCGGCTTTCTTCAGCTGTCCGCCCTGGGATGTGTCAAAGCCAGCTGAGACAGCAAGCAACAGCTGTCTCGTGGCTTGGAAACTCTCTCCCCAGGCAAAGGGGAGGAGGTGAGCTTTCCTCAGATAGTGGTAGAGCTCCCTGAGGCCCCAAAGTTTTCTTTTTTGGTGGTCAGAGGGTGAGCTCCCATAGAGTCTGATTTTTCCAGGGCAAAGCTAGACGCTGCTTCCACATCTGCACTTAAAATGAACTTGTGAGTAAATTTTAAAGCAGAAAGAGCTGACCAGGAGAGACTAAAATGGGGATTATTTCGGACTTTAACTCTGGAAAAGAACTTATCTTCTCCTTCTTTTAAATAAGTGTGGTGAAAAATGGCGCTGAGATGTTGATTCATTGAGTGAAAGGACCGGAACTTCTACTTGGAACAATGTAACAGATTTTGCATTTGTATAAATTTCAAGAATCTTCTTTTTTTCTTTTAAGGGGGCTTTTGTCTTTTTCCCCCTTCTCCTTTTTTCTTTTTTTTTTTGGGGGGGGGTATTTGTTGATTTTATAAGATTTTAGCAGACTTTTTATAAGTGGTCTTAAAAATAAAATGGCTTCAAAGCGTCTTGGAGCTTCTGTTGCTTCTAAAGCCTCGATCTTCCTGGTAATGCAGACAGCTCAGCAAGCTAAGTCTAAGTTTCCACCATCTTCTCCATTGTCTCCAGCATCTATACTTAAAGATTTACAGGATGCCTTGGAAAAAAAGGCACGACAGGTTAAAGAAGAGATGGAGATTTTTATTGAAAATAAATTCATGAAATTGACAGAGGACATTTGCGTTTCAAAAGTTTGTTGGTCACATAGATCTTCTGGATGAGCGTATTGATGATGTTGTGGAAAATTTTGAAAAACTGGAAGATCGAATTGACAAAGTGGAAAATAATGTGGAAATAATACAGGATGAAGTTACTATGTTACAATACAAAAACATGGAATTTGCTTTAAGAATAAGGGGAATGAAGGAAAATATTCAAGAGGATTTGAGACAAGTGGTGGTAAAAGATATAGCTCTTATTTTGGGGACTGAGCGTGAAGAAATACTGAGAGAGACGGAAAAAGTTTTTAGGGTTAATTCTAGGGTTGCGAGACAAAGGAATTTGCCATGGTTATCTATTTTTCTAGGGCAGTGGTTCTCAACCTGTGGGTCGGGACCCCATTTGGGGTCGAACGACCATTTCACGGGGGTCGCCCAAAAACACAGTCTGCCATTTTTTTCCCCTTTTCCTTAGCTGTGCTACCCCCTTTTATTCTATTGGCTTTTGAAAACCAATAAGTGCAACATATTTTTCCCGCCTTGTGCATGTGCAATAGCCTGATGGGGCTCAAGGCTGAATCAATCTTTCATCCTTCCAAGGTCAATAAAATGAGGACGCAGATTGGTGGGGCAATATATAAATAATGCTCTACATTGTAAGCCACCCAGAGAGTGTTGTAAAGCACTATGGGCCGTATAAAAGCCTAAATGCTATTGCTATTGCTATGAAGCTGCTAGGCTGATTTTTACTGCCCTAAAAAGACAAATCAGGAGAGGTTTGCATAATTGTAGCCGTGCATGGAACTCCCATGTGGAAAACCTTGTCCCAGAAAGTAGGTTCCTATACTGTAATTGGACTATTTGAATTCACCTATATCCTAAGGCAGCAATGCTGGCTGTGGAATTCTGGGAGTTGAAGTCCGCATGCCTTAAAATTGTCAAGGTTGAGAAACACTGCCCTAAGGCAAGACTTGGACTGTCCCTTATTTGAGCTGCAAAGGCATTTAATACTTTCCCATTTGTTAATAATTTCCCAGAATGAGATTCTGCAAAGCTGGAAGGGTATATAAGAATGTTTATTTTTTTTTTCTTGTTTCAAATAGAGTCTAACTATCCATTGAGGCTCTGTTAAATATTGCTGAACCTTGTTTCCACCGTCCCTTTCACCCTTATTAGAGGCCATATTAAGGACAAAGTTTAAACCCAGTAAACATGCTTTCATGACCCAGTTAGGATTTTTAAAGGTAAAACACACAGGTAAAATGTAAAAAAAAAAAAATCACACGCCTTAAAGTTTTTCTCACTGGCCTGCATGGAGTCTACAATGCTGGAATGTTTTTTGTGCCAGGCAGATGATGGGATTACTGACAGAGCCTGAAATGCAAATTTGTCTTGGAGGCAGCACAGCGGATTAGGCAATAACAGCTGAGAAAGCAAAAATGTCCTTTTTCCTAGGGCTAAGAGAGAATGTCATCGGACTGGCTTTCATGGCTAAAGTAAGGCTTGAACCCCCATTCTTTTACTTTCTAATCTGGTGCCTTAATCTCTAAACCAAACTGGCCCTTTTATAAAAGCTTGCTTTTTCCTTGATTCCAAGGAAAAGGAAAACAGATTTAGTATACACATTTTAGCAATAACTTCTCACCCCTTGCAATACTAAGGATTCCAAATGCATTATTAATGATAAATCCAAGGCCTTTTTCTTTACAAAACAATATTTTCTTTCCTTTTTCTTTACAAAACAATATTTCACTATAATCCATTCAGATGTTTGTTGATCCTCATTACAAATTACTTCATTACAATCTGTTGGCATAATGTGTTTCTTCCAACCTAGTCCCCATACAGTTTCTGGTGCAGTTCCTCAAAGATATCTCTGAATGCCATTATAAATTGCTTGTCTTTTGTCTCCAATATCAAAAATATTTTTTTCTTTTCCACAAATTTATATTTATTTTTTAATCAAAATCCAATATTCCAATGTTTTCTTACCCCTTAATCTTTTTAAAGCTTTCTGTATACAAAACCTTGTCTTGCTTTTTGCTGTTTATTTTAAATTCTTAAAATTATAAAAATAGGTATTAATTTTCTTTTCTTTTTTAAAAACAAGTTTTATTAGTTTTTTCTTTTTACAGACAAGTCCTTAAGAATCAACGTGGTGGCAGGGTAATCAATTGTCCAAAAGCAAAGTCATACTTATATAGTTCAAATTAAATCATTAGAAACCCCCTCTCTATTCCCTCAGATAATATATTATATTCAAATTAATGTATTTCAATACAACTAAGTCAATCAAAACAATAATAATAATAATAATAATAATAATAATAATAATAATAATAATAATAATAGTAAAGTTGGAAGGGACCTTGGAGGTCATCTAGTCCAAACCCCTGCTCCCAATCATCAATAACATTTCATCTAAATAAGTCCAAATCCTGTGTTCACCTTTATTATTACAATTGCTATATTCCATTTTGCTACTATAAATACATAATTAACACATTTAAGATAGAAAAATATGGGGTAGACAGAATCACCACCAGATGGATCCATAGCTGGCTGACCGGCCATACTCAGCGAGTGGTCCTCAATGGAACTGCATCTATATGGAGGGAAGTGTGTAGTGGGGTGCCCCAGGGCTCTGCTCTGGGCCCAGTACTCTTCAACATCTTCATCAACGATTTGGATGAAGGGATAGATGGGGAACTCATCAAATTTACAGACGACACCAAGCTGGCAGGAATAGCCAACACTCCAGAAGACAGGCTTAAGATAAGAAGGATCTGGACAGACTTGAACACTGGGCACTAACTAACAAAATGAAATTCAATGGTGAAAAAAGCAAGGTTCTACATTTAGGCAAGAAAAACCAAATGCAAAAGTACAGCATAGGTGGCACCATGCTCAATAGTAGTAACTGTGAGAGGGACCTCGGAGTCCTAGTAGACAATCACTTAAATATGAGCCAGCAGTGTGCTGCAGCTGCCAAAAAGGCCAACACAGTGCTAGGCTGCATTAACAGAGGGATAGAATCAAGATCACGTGAGGTATTAATACCACTCTTCAATGCCTTGGTAAGGCCACACTTGGAATACTGCATCCAGTTTTGGTCACCACGATGTAAAAAAGATGTTGAGACTCTAGAAAGAGTACAGAAAAGAGCAACAAAGATGATTAGGGGACTGGAGGCTAAAACATAGAAGGAACGGTTGCTAGAATTGGGTATGTCTAGTTTAACGAAGAGAAGGACAAGGGGGGACATGATAGCAGTGTTCCAATATCTCAGGGGCTGCCATAAAGAAGAGGGAATTAAGCTATTTTCCAAAGCACCTGAAGGCAGGACAAGAAGCAACGGGTGGAAACTCATCAAGGAGAGAAGCAACCTAGAACTAATGAGAAACTTCCTGACAGTGAGAACAATTAATCAGTGGAACAGCTTGCCTCCAGAAGCAGTAAATGCTCCAACACTGGAAGTTTTTAAGAAGAGACTGGACAGCCATTTGTCCGAAATGGTGTAGGGTTTCCTGCCTGAGCAGGGGGTTGGACTAGATGACCTCCAAGCTCCCTTCCAACTTTACTACTATTACATATTACACTTCAGGTGTCTCTCCATTCCCCTTTTCCTTGACGTAATCAATAATCATTTATTAATATCATTTCTTCTTTTTTCTTATTCTTCCATTACAAAATAACTATCTCTAATAATATTTCTAATAACAGTCTTGATTTATATGAAAAATGCACATAGACGTAAACAGACTCAGAAACGCAAAGAGTTGGAAGATGAGATTAAATGTAAGGAAAAGGTTTTAATATCAAACCTAATGGATAATAACTTAAAGGTTTCTATAACTCTGCTTAAGGAGCAATTTAATATGTTAATAGCAGATCAGATTGCAACTAATTTGAGGTATATGAAATATAATACATTTTGCAATGCAAATAAACCTGGTAGATGGTTGGCTTACCAATTACAAAAGAAACAGAAATCAAGGACTATAGAGAAAATAACTTATAAAGGTAAAGAAGTGTATCAATAAAATTTGATTAAAAAGACTTTTTTAGATTTTTATTCAAAGTTATATGCTAGTGAAAGTATACAAATTTTAGATATAGAAAAATATTTACAGGAAGCACACTTTTCTAGATTTACGATTGATCAACGTGATGGGATTAATGCTTTAATTACTTCTGAAGAGATTATTTTTGCAATTAAACAATTGAAGGTTGGTAAGACTCCAGGTACTGATGGATTAACAGCAATTTATTATAAGATGCTATCTGAAGAAATGATAGAACCATTAAAGGAACTTTTTAATGATATTTGTTGGGAGCAGAGCTACCTCCATCTTGGAGAAGGGCTTTTATATCATTGATTCCAAAGGAAGACCAGGATCTGTCCCAACCTAGAAATTATAGGCCTATATCCCTTTAAAATACAGATTATAAGATTTTTGCAAAGATGTTGGCAAATAGATTAATGCGGGTCTTGAAACAATTGATTCATACTGACCAATCTGGATTTATAATGGGAAGATATATGAAATATAATGTAAGACAAATTGTTAATTTAATAGGGTATTTGGATAAGAACAACCAAATTCCTGCTGCTTTTATATTTATAGATGCTGAAAAAGCTTTTGATCAATTAGATTGGAAATTTTTATTGAAAGTCGTAGAGGAAATGAACTTTGGAGATAAATTTTTGTGTGCTCTCAAGGCCATATATCAGCAACAATCTGCACAAATTATAATTAATGGGGGACTAACAGATGTTTTTAAAATAGAAAACGGTATAAGACAGGGTTGTCCCTTATCCCCTTTGTTATTTGTATTAACAATGGAGATTTTACTTATTAAAATTCGAGATTCATCTAAATTAAAAGGAATAAAAATAAGTAAGAATGATTATAGGCTGAGAGCTTTTGCTGATGATTTGGTTGTGATATTATCCCATCCAACAGATTCGGTCAGAGACTTGGTTGAAATTTTAACGCAATATGGACAGGTCTCTGGTTTTAAGGTGAATAAGAATAAAACTAAAATATTATTGAAAAATATGTCTATGAAGGGAAAAGATATTATAGTTAAAGCAACAGGTTTTGAAGTAGTTAACAAGGTTAAATATTTAGGAGTATATATCACAACATCTAATGGGAAGTTGTATAAGAATAATTATGAATACTTATGGATAAAAGTACAAAAAGATTTAAATGATTGGAAAAAATTACAATTATTGTTGTTGGGGAGAATTTCAGTAGTAAAAATGAATGTTCTACCAAAGTTTCTTTTTCTGTTTCAGATGATACCTATTTTAAAAAAAGATGCTAATTTGGATGAGTGGCAGAAGGGTATCAATAAATTTATTTGGGGTGGGAAGAAACCAAGGGTAAAGTTCAAGATTTTACAAGACACTCGAGAAAGAGGTGGACTTAAAGCACCTAATTTGAAATTATATTATGATGCAGCCACATTAACTTTAGTAAGTGATTGGCTTAATTTAACAAATAAACGTATTCTTCCTCTTGAAGGTTGGGATTTATTATATGGCTGGCATGCATATTTAATTTTCGATAAGAAAGTAGATTTGGTTTTCAAGTTGCATATTTTAAGAAATGCCTTACTTCGAGTCTGGAAGAAGTATTATTATAAGTTAAATTATAAAATCCCCTTTATGGATTACTGCCTTGTCGTGGCGAAGCTATAAGCTATAAGCTATGCCGTGCAGGGCCACCCAAGACGGATAGGTCATAGCAGAGAGTTCTGACAAAATGTGATCCACTGGAGAAGGAAATGGCAAACCACTCCAGTATCTTTGCCATGAAAACCCCATGGACAGTACTAAAAGGCAAAAAGATATGACGCTGGAAGATGAGCCCCTCAGGTTGGAAGGTGTCCAATATGCTACTGGGGAAGAGCAGAGGGCTAGTACTAGTAGAGCCAGAAAGAATGAAGTGACTGGGCCAAAGCCAAAAGGACGCTCAGCTGTGGATATATCTGGTGGTGAAAGGAAATTTCGATGTTGTAAAGACTTTTTCTCCATAGGAACCTGGCATGTAAGATCCATGACTGGGATCCATAGGAACCTGGAATGTAAGATCCAAGACTGAACATCGACATCTTAGGAATCAGTGAACTAAAATGGACAGGAATGGGTGAATTTAACTCAGATGACCATCAAGTATACTACTGTGGGCAAGAATCCCTCAGAAGAAATGGAGTAGGCTTCATAATCAATAAAAGAATAGGAAAAGCAATACTCGGATACAATCCCCAAAAATGACAGAATGATCTCAATTTGAATCCAAGGCAAACCATTCAATATCACAATAATCCAAATCTATGCCTCAACCACTTGTGCTGAAGAGGATGAAATTGACCGGTTCTATGAAGCCCTATAGCACCTTATAGAATTAACACCAAAAAATGATGTCCTTATCATCATGGGGGATTGGAATGCTAAGGTAGGAAGCCAAAAGATAACTGGAATAACAGGCAAGTTTGGCCTTGGAGTACAAAATGTAGCAGGGCACAGGCTGATAGAATTTTGTCAAGAGAATACGATGGTCATAACAAACACTCTTTTCCAACAACCCAAGAGACGGCTCTACACATGGACATCACCAGACGGTCAACATAGAAATCAGATTGACTATGTGCTCTGCAGCCAAAGATGGAGAAGCTCTATACAGTAAGTAAAAACAAGACCAGGAGCTGACTGTGGCTCAGATCATGAGCTTCTCGTTGCAAAATTTAGGCTTAAATTGAAAAAAGTAGGGAAAAGCACTAGGCCA